CAAATATTTGCTTTAATTAATTTTAAGTTTTAATTACAATTTTGAATTACTCATTTTTTAATTTCCATAATTTGCAAATAAATTAAGTGTCAATATTTTGAAAAAATAAAATGAGCAGAATGCGTTTGACAGTTTAAAAGTTTAATTGACGACGTAATTGTTTTTCTTAACTTTAATTACAATTATTTTGCTATTAATTATTCAATTTTTATATGAAATTAATAACATAGAGTTTCATTCTCGTTGCTTACAGCGTTAAAAAAAATATTTTTTATTTGATTAAGAATAAATAAATGAATTGTTGGATTGAGAGAAAGTAAGTAACCAAGCAATTAGATGAAAAACCATTCATTATTGCCATTACTTGATAATTCGTACAAATTCCAATCTAAATAACTGCATGAATGTTATTTGAACAAATGTCAGTTCAATGACAAATTCCGTACTTTTTGAAAATTACTGCTGGCTAAATTGTACGTCTCAAACTAATTACTTCTTTCAGCAGTCTTTTTTTACTTTGTTTTATTTTCTTGTTTTGTTTTGAGCAATGCAATTCTTTCAAATTATTTTCTTTTCAAATTATACTTCTGCTTTATAGGGTACTTGATTATGTTGGAATAAATTTACGTGAACAAGCGGATCTATACTTGCTTGTTACTTTACAAGTAGCTGCTCGAGCTGTACAATCTAAAAAGTTAAATATTGGTGCTAATAAGGTAAGCTTGATAGAATTTAGTGATGAATTACTTTTAAAAAAAATTAAAGTTTCAACAAATATGGATAAACAGTCCAAAAAAATTGTACTAAGGGCACAAGTTTTTTATAAAATTCACAATTCGATGTGGCGTTATTCACGTTAAAATAATGCATTGATCGTAATTGCTTTGTGAACGTAATCAACGTTTTCCAAAACGTGAGAGACGAGAATTATCATTTATCATTTCTTTTAATTATTTTTTACAAATAAACTTTCGATTGCTTTTTGATCTAAAAATTAGAAACTTAACGGTACTAATAAGATTAGAAAATATAAAGTGAGCACGTCGAAAATGAATATCATATATTTCAATTATTTATTCTAAAAAATTACAAAGATCTAATTTTAACAGCAGGAAATGTATATTAATAATAGCGGAAGGATCAAAGTAATAAAAAGGTAATTGTAAAAGGGGAGCAAAACTTTGTAGTAATTAATTTAGTAGCAATAGTTTGAGCTTTGTTAGTTCCGATGTAAATCACTGAAGTGTTTAAGTAGGGGTATTTGGCCTTAAATAGTTAGTTGACTGCTTAAATTATCGTTACAAAATGATTAATCGCATTAAGAAAGTTAATTTTATGCATAATTTATTCCATTTCTGAATGTAGCAATCAATTAACAAATAATTGCATAATTGATATACATATATACTTAATAATGTACAATGATATTCAAAATTAGTTTCTAGGAAAGTATAGAAACATTGTTTATGGAATGCGATGGAGTTATTCCCGATGAAAGCAAGCAAACTCAGCGAGTACAGCTGCAAATGTCACTCTGGCATGATGCTTTATCCGGGTTCAGTAGCTACTTTCACGGACAAATACGTGTCAATCTTGTTGATGATGCTTTGGAGCATAAAGATCTTACTGGCTCTCGATGGTTTGTTTTATTTTTCAATTTAATCAGTCCCTTTTTTATCTGCTTGCTATTTAGTTGCTTTCTTTTGTCTGAAATAATTCTATAAATCCTAAAAAATAGCAATTAAGTTTGCTTAATATTAATGAATTAATTAAGCAAATAAAAAGCTGACTACTATTATAAAAGATTTGTTCGTAGTGAGCATTAATCTCAGCTATTTTAAATCATTCACTGTATACTTCAATTTCAGTTACAAATTATTCTGCCTGAATTTGAAGTCAGCAGTTATTCATTTTGCCGAGAGCTAGCAAAATCTTTCTGCTTTAACTTTTTACATTTTTTCTTTTTTTAATTTTATTTTCTGAGTTGATAAGTATATATATATATATAAATTAGCTGAAAAATTTTTCATCTTTTTTGCTTGAAAAATGAAAAATTAGAGGTCATTGATATGCAAAGTTTTTCAATAAATGCGCTCTATCCATATTAAAAAGTGTTTATTTTATAAGCAGTAAAATTATTTCTTTGCAAGGATTACTTACAACTTTGCTTTAAACTTGCTTTTTTGATTGAAATGCTAAAGCTTTATGTTCACGTCACTGAATTGAGTGGGTGTTAAACTTTTAGACAAGTAGCTGAATTAACAATAAGAAATATTTTTTTTATGGAAAATTAACTTAGTCGAGAGTGGGTGCTAGTCAGAAGGAAACTGCTATGTCGTGGTAGTTAGTTAGTTAGTTAGTTAGTTAGTTAGTAAGTAAGTAAGTTAGTAAGTTAGTTAGTTAGTTTGTTACTATCTTAAAAATGTAAGTGTTTTACTCTCTTCAACGCATACTTTTTACCTTTTTACTTATTTATTATTCACAAGTTTTTATGCAAAAC